CGTTGGCAAATTAACCATTTGGAAAAGGGTTTTTCAGCCAGATTCCTAGCGTATTCTCTCTTACCATTTATTTAAACATCTTAAAGAACCAAGTATAACTCTGTAATCTGCAAACAGAACAAACACCTCACAGCTTCCTGCACTATCAGTGCAGATATTGCAAGCACTACTTGTGCAAATATATCCAGTTTTGGGTTTCCAGAGCCAAACAACCAGGTGAATGCTCAAGGGTGCTAACAATCCCTTTGTGAAGACCCTAACCATTGGTTCTCACACCTGGGAGACCCTAACTGAGAACAGAGGGAAATGACAATATCATGTAAGGGTTGGTCTACACCACAAATGATCAACGGCTTGGTGATAGGTGCTAACACCAATGACAACGTTCCAAAATAACATTTGACAATCAGTTCGTATTTTTGCAGAACCAAATTTTCACACATTGGTCTCTCCAGTCATCAGCAAAAAAAAAGCCTCACCAATGGATTGGATTTGTTGCATGGTCATTATTCTTATGTAAATAGAAGAATGATGCTAGTGATGGTAAGCATATTAATAGAATTCAAGAGGACATAGACAGACTGGGGAAATGAGGTAAGACGTGGCTCTTGAAATTAATCAATAAAGCTGTGATGTGATATATTTTGGTAGGAAGAATAAAGAGACATGATAGAAGGTGAAAGTACAATTTTGAGGAAGAAACACAAAAACAAAAAGACCTGGAGGAGTTTGAACATCAGGCTTTGAATGTGGCAAGTAGGGTTAATGAAGCAATTAATGGTGGGATCCTGGGATTTACAAACAAAGGTGCAGAGTATCTTCCTAGCAAATTACTCATACCAACCCAGTATATCTTTAAAATCTCTATGAGGTCTCACATTAGCTTTCACTGCTCTAGGAACTTTTTTCATTAATACCATACCACAACCCTGCCACAGAATGATTGCTAGTTCCCTCTTCAAATTAGAGATCTCAATATCCCAAAACTAAATATATCAGCACAAATAGTGCTTACAATATTTGGACTCATAATGCAGGAGGCTTTGAGGTGTGGGTTCAGTTTGCAGATTAGAGAGCAATACTCGGTTCTTTTGAGATAATTAAAGAAATGGTAAAGAGCATCAGCTAAGATATTGGCAACAAAAAGCCCTTTCCCAAACAGTTAATTTCGCAGTATACTGTGAGTGAGTGAGCGGGTGAGGGAGAGAGTGAGTGAGAGAGAGTGAGTGTGTGTAAGGGATTGAATAAAAAATATTACAAATGGTTTCCCTCCTGTTCATCCTTCTACTTCACATCTCTCTTGCATCATACTTCAAAATGTGTTGTTGGAATTCTCCATGTTCTTGTATAGATTAATATCTGGGGGAATGCATAGTCGCATGAGTAAACTGTATTACTATTCCTAAAGGTCTCAAATCAGCTATTGGTATGCGCCAGATATAATAATAAAAGCAAAATCTATGTATTAATCCAAGGATTATCAGCAGTCCTCTTATTTCAATTCTACATGGGTAACTTGCCTAGGTCAAATTAGTCCTGTTCAACAATATTCAATTTTTTTCTTCAAATGGAACATGCTGAAAAATACAAATCAAAATTCATCACAAATTTCCACAGACCACTATTTTACAAAAGAGAATGCAAGTGCTAAGATTCAAGGCTAAACAGCGTATATATTTGTTCATACCAAGTTTAAAACTAGGCAATTGATTTTTGCTAGATTTTTACTGAATTACATAAAATTTTCCAGCACAGGAGTTGTCCATTCAGTCAAAAGGGTCAAAGCTGTATTTATCGTTCTAATAAGACACTTGTCACCTTATCTTATCTCAAGCTATCAAAAATTCCTTTTCTCCTTGGTGTTTTGATGTATTTGCATAACTTCCCCTTAAATGTCCCTATGCTACTTGTCAATGTCAATCTACATGGTAGTCAGTCCCACATTCTTACAATCAGTGAACAGTAAAGACAGCAGTCATTATTCTTGAGTGACTCACAAATCAAAGCTTTGACAGTATTTTTCTACAAGGATATTCAATATCCTTTCGAGGCCACAAACTTTTTTGAATTCATTCATGGGATGTGGAAATTACTGGCTGAGCCAGTATTTGTTGTCGATCAACAATTACCCTTGAGAGGTGGTGGTGAGCTGCCTCCTTGAACCATTCAATCCATTTCATGTAGGTACATCCACAATGCTGTTAGAGAGGGAGTTCCAGGATTCTGACTGAGCAACACTGAAGGAACAGCAATATATTTCCAAGGCAGGATGATGAGTGAGTTGTAGGGGAACTTGCAGATGTAGTGGTCATGCATTTCCTGCCTTTGTTATTCTATATTCAAGTGTTTGGAATTTGAAAGGTGCTATCAAAGGAGTTGTGGTGAATTTTTTGCAAGTTCATTTTGTAAATGGTGCACACTGTTATTACTGAGCATCGGTGGTGGAGGGAATGGATGTTTGTGGGTGCAGAGGCAATCAAGCAGGCTGCTTTGATGTGCATGACATCAACCTTCTCAAGTGTTGTTGGAGTTGTACTCATCTAGGTAGGTGGGGAATATTACATCATATTCCTGACTTGTGCCTGATAGATGATCGACAGACTTTGGAAAGTCAAGAGGTGAGTTGCTCCCAGCAGGATTCCTGGTTTCTAACCTGCTAATATGGCTAGTCCAATTTAGCTTCTGGTCAATGATAACCCCAGGAAGTTAATACTATGTGTCATTGAGTGTCTGAGGTTAATGATTAGGCTCTCTGGTGTTGTAGGTGGCCATGGTGTGGTGTGAATGTTACTTGCCATTTGTCAGCCTAAGCCTGGATTTTATCTAGGTCTTGTTAAATTTGACATGAACTGCTTTGGTGTCTGTGCAGTCATGAATGGTGCTGAAAGTTGTGCAATCATCATAGGATATCCCCACTTCTGACTTATGATGGGGAGGAAGGTCATTGATGAAGCTACTAAAGATAGTCTGATAATTAAGAAATACATTTCCTAGATCTTTCAGGATTTAAGTATGGTTCAGTCCGAGAACTTCTCAAATTCCTATGTGCTTATCAATTTGTGGTTTTGGTTTATCTGTACACCTTATGTTAATTATCTTTCATTATCTGCAGGTGGACAGCATTAATTGGGTTTTCAGCTAGACACATATAAAGAGACACTGAAACTGGGGTGTGGTCGATTTAGGAAATCTATGCTGGCAATGTTTCATTCTGTTAAGTAATATAAATCTTCATAGAGATTGGCTTCAGTCCTGTGCTTCAACTGATTTCTGGAGTGTAACACATTATTTTACTATTGTTTTCAACAGATAAAAAAATATGTTGTTCACAATGACATTTTTAAATATTAGCCTCTAAATTCAATAATAATATAATCAGAGCAGCAATGCTTATTTTATGATTCGTCATGTGGATTCCACCATTGGCCCCACCAAAGTTTACCAGGTCAGTTTGAAGAATCAAAAAAGCCTGAGCCTCTGATTGTTTAAGGTGTGTGTTTGGTACTTTTTATGTTAAACAGAAGGAAACAGGGGCTGATATTTAACAGAATGAGGGAGGAAGGATTTGGACTATGCAAGAGGACTGTTTTAAAAGTAAAATAAATTTAGTGCCTAAATGTCAGAGTACAGGTCCCAAACTTCAGGCAGTTACCAGCAAAGTATACCTGGTTCACACTATTAGATCCCAACTGAAGATCAAAGGACAAGAACTCCTGACTAAGAAAATTGCTACCCACTGACCTCTCAACATCTGCTGATAATTTGTCCTGCCTTTAAAATTTTGATTTTTTTTTTCCCAGCTAAGATTGCACCAGACATATAAAGCTTGAGGAAAACGAAACACAAAAGGTAGGAGATCATATGTGTAAGAAGAACTTGTTTATCATTAAACACATCATTATGTATTATCCTGATTACTGTGATTTCTGTCAGCAAATTAAATGCAGAGGCTGAAAGGGATTGGAGATCTGAGTGCCAACATATGGGATTTCATCATACAGTGTAATCTTGCAAGAAAAAATCAACAAAAGTGTCTCAAATAATATGCATCAAAACAATTAGATATAAATGCAAACTTTTGATTTTTCTGTCTCACAATGTCTTAAATCACTTTTTCTGAGGTTAGTTTCCCTTTTGTTAAAAGAACTTGGAATCTTTTCATCCAAGTTAGATTCTATTTCTGTCTGAAAAACCACAAATATATTTCCAGCAGGGATTCACTCAGCCATGACTAGGGCAAACAGGCCCGGTCTGCTTGTTTCCTTTCCTTTGGGCAGGGACACTGAGACTAATTGAAGCAGCCTTAACCTCTGCCAAAAAATATCCAGCTAATTTATCATAAATAACGGATCAAAGCTGGTGATTTTGCAGCACGGTGGCTCGGTGGTTAGCACTGCTGCCTCACAGCGCCAGGGACCCGGGTTCAATTCCAGCCTCGAGTGACTGTCTGTGTGGAGTTTGCACATTCTCCCTGTGTCTGCATGGGTTTCCTCCGGATGTTCCGGTTTCCTCCCACAGTCCAAAGATGTGCAGGTTAGGTGGATTAGCCATGCTAAATTACCCATAGTGTCTAGGGTAGGAAAAGCAGGGATAGGGTAGGAAAAGCAGGAATAGGGTAGGGGGCGGGTCTGGGCGGGATGCTCTTTAGAGGGTTGGTGTGGATTCGCTGGGCTGAATGGCCTGCTTCTACACAGTAGGGAGTCTATGAATTCCTGGTCTGGAAAAATAATTTTACTTGCACATCGTACATTTCCTATTCAATTTTATTATGTTCAACGCATGAAGCGCTGAAATAAATACTGAAAGTCAAAACTAATCAAAAACTTTAATCAAGGGATAGTTTATAAATTGCAATTGCAGCCTGCAGAAGGTCAGTTGTAAAGCAAATCGCAGTTTTAAAAGAAGTCAAGAAAATTACTTATTAATTTGCAGTTGTTTCTGTGAATAAGACCAGAGCAAAAGAAATTGAATGCCTGGAATTCAAGGCTAGACTCTCTCACCTTGGACTGAAACTCTCCTTGGAAGGATAGTGACAGCTCCTACAGCTACATCCTCCTGCTGTAGTACTGGCGCCACTTTGGATCCCCAGCTGTCAGATCCAACCCACAAGAAGTGGCCGGTCTGATTGGCCCTTTTTGTTGCTTCCAACACATGCCTATACAGAAAGAAAAAAAACATGAAAGTAATTACCTTAGTACTTATTTGCTGGGAGCAAAAACTATGGCTTCCGATGTGACACAAAATTGATTACTGCACTTTGAAAACTAACTTGGTCACTGTATCTATTGAAGAACCGCAATCTATTACTTGACAAGTAAGTTGCGAATGTTCCTTCAGGTAAGAAGCAACTTCTTGACTTATGATTACCTCTTTTTTTTAATGAATCAACTTTTTAAATGATTGAAGGGGACATTTATCAGTCTTTCGTAATAGCATCCTTCAAGAGCAACTTGCAGTGTAAAAATCAATTTGCTTCTTGGGAAAGCCGGGATTTATTCTATTTTATTTGCATATCTTGTAATGTGCTGTCTGTACTAAAAAATGGATATGTGAATAAGTTGATTCACAATAATTGTTTTAAATAAGCAAAATTTTCTGTGGTGAATTAGTTAATGCAAAGTTAAAAATGTTGTGTCAGAAAGCAGTTTAGAATGAGCAGCCCATGCAACCACCCTTGGGTCTCACTGGGAAATATGTTAGAAATCCATTCTAGCTTTTATCCCTTTTCTGTGTAATATTAAACTCTCTTCCATCAGCTCGAATTGTATACATTACTCATTTAAAGTTGTGTCCCTGGTCAGCTATCATAGTTTGATTTTAAGTTATGTTCTGGATCGAACTTGCCTATGTCCTTGAGAAATTCAACTCCTTTTAAGACTGATAAGCAAAAACTTCTCTAGCTTTTTCTTAAACCTCAGCCATTTAGCTTTGGGGAGTTAATTTTTATTCACATACAAGATTTGAAAGGATCTTGTATTTCAGTAGTTGTACACAGTACTCAAGGTATGATCAGGCCAGATTTTCGGTATGATTTAGTTTGATTTCCTATACCACTACTTTTCAAAATCTTCAAATGTGATCTTTTGCTATTTTAGTACTAATCCTGGAGTATGGATAATATCTGTCTTGTCATAATCAACACCTTCCTGTTATTTCGACTCAATAGTTTCTGCCAAGCCTCTGTCATATTGTATTTAGCTCATTCTTTCTGGACTGCCTTCTATGATTCAGCAGTCTGCCTTTGTTTGCTATTATCTGCAAATTAAACCATCTTACTCTGGGTTTTACGAATGCAGTGTTTCTTTCATCTGTATTACCAAGACTCACCTAATGTCATCTTCATTCGCAAATATAATGACTCCACGTGCGTTGGGGGTTTCCAATAGACGCTTAATAATTTTGTCAAACTCTGCTCGTTTGGGATCTCGTGGAATCTTCAATGACTGGGCCACACAGACTCCCCCTGCAGTGAACAAGTACAACATATAGACATCTCAAAAAGAGAGAGTTGCTGACTGCATTCTGCACAGTGTTATACGTAATCATAGCTTTTCATACCCAACCAGTTCAAAAGTAGGCCATCCACTGATTAATTGCACTGATTACTAGGTTCATCAATTAATAATCAGGAAATATAAAATGGGTACTAATGTTGTCAGAAGTTACTCGACTTTAGGGTCAATGAATGAGTTTGTTGTAAAGATACTCCAGAATATCAGACAATTCATTCTTAAATAAGATAATGACATAGATGCAATGGAGTAGGGGCAGTCTTGTTTAGTCTAAGAGATCATCCTCTACAGTGCAGGACCAAACTCCGACCTCATGGTAGACAGAATCCATGAGGAGAGAGCAACTTAAAGTTATATACATGGAGGTAGATCCATTCTTGGTTACAGCTCAAAATAGGAAACACTTCACCTTCAAAAGATAGTAGGAACTGCCGATGCTGGAGAATCTGAGATAACAAGGTGTAGAGCTGGATGAACACAGCAGGCCAGGCAGCATCAGAGGAGCAGGAAAGCTGATGTTTCGGGTCTGGACCCTTCCTCTGAAGAAGGGTCCAGAGCTGAAACGTCAGCTTTCCTGCTCCTCTAATGCTGCCTGTCCCGCTGTGCTCATCCAGCTCTACACCTTGTTGTCTCACCATCAAAAGATATGCTTGTTTCAATGTGTGACATTCTCTGGTGATCAAAGGAGATTCAATATCAAAAAAAACAAATTACAAAAGAAATTAACTGTTGAAAATCTAAAGTTCCATCCATGAAAAGACAGTACCTGACATCCTCTCACTACCTATAATATCAGAATTATTCACTATCCAAAAACAGAATTGTTCCCACTTCTACACTGTTAAAACCAGGTGATGAGGGATTGTGGCTCACCTCATTTTTAAAACCCCTCATAATCAGGTGTCTCTTAAAGAAAATCTTTTATTTTCTGCACTGCTAAGGTCTGTGAGCAAGTATCTTGGAGAAGGCTGATTCTCTGTCTGGTTATTTAAAGCTGGCACTAACAACCATTATTGCTACAAATGCTAGTCTTGCATCTGGAGTTTTTTTGGGGAGTGCTAAAAGCTATTTCCTTTTCATATCTGGTTTCTGACAGTGGAAGTGCTTAGCTGCTTTTCCATCCATCTCATATCCAATCCTCTCCCGCTAACAGCTGGGCAATTCTGTGTCGATTCCAGGTATGAAAGGATTTTCTCATGAGGAGAGTTTGAGTATGTTGTCCTTGTACTCACGGCAATTTTTTTGATGCCTCACTGAGTTCCAGTGCCTCTTGAGCAAAATGGTAATTCTGAGGAAGGGAGTTTTGTATATTTCACACAGGATGCCTGTGTTTATTAGGTGATTGCAGCAGCCATTTTATATCAGTAGTGTGTTTTTTTTAAAACTACCTTTTAGTCCATGAAAGTCTTGGGCATTAAAATGAAATAATGCAAGTTGAATACTAATAATCCACTTTCACTAAGATCATCACAACACTAAACAGTTTTTCGCTCCGGATTCCGTGTATGATTTTGTTGTAACTATGATTTTGGAGTGGAGTTGTGTTACCTTTTAAGAAAGCTCATTATAATTTATTTCCATGGGTTTTACGCCAAAATATCACTACCAGAAAAGATCCTCAAGCGTCACTTCTGAAATACTTCTGCTGGAACCCTCTGTCACTTATTCACAGAGCTCTGTCCCAAACAAAAGGCTAATGCATTCAAGGTTCTTGGATTTATGTGAATACTGCATGAGCATTGATTTACAGTTAAATATGTTGGCGCATCTTGCCTTGAAGCTACCTCAAGCGCAGAGTTACTCAGACATCCAACACTTAATTGTGACTTTCAGCCCAATTTCCAGTCTTAATACTTCAATTGAGACTTGACTATACTTAACCAAAGTACTGACAGTTCTGTGTACTTCATATTTTTGCCTGCCCTGTCACCACTCCTGTACCCAAGCTCATTCCATCTACCCACACCTTCAGAACATGAAAGCAGATGGGCATACCCCTGCACTACATAATAATGGAGGAGCAAGAGGACCAACAGAAACACGAAGCTGGATTAGTACTGATTCTGGGCTTTTTTTGCACAGTTTTTAAGATTTTACTGTAGGAAACTAACCTTTTCAGAAAGTTCTGACATCCTTCATCATATTTTCTGTTCTAATTTTGACAATCAGAAATTTTGGAGCAATTTCTCAGTGTCCAATCCAGAAAGTTTAGCTCATCCACTGTGAGTAAATGTTTTGAACTCTATTATAAGTCAAATGGACAGAATTGATATTTTTCCCTTCAGATTCTTGGAATATTGTGAATCTCTACCTACATAAGTATATGCTTAGGAATATTGTATGAGATATAACCTCAATTTTTCGTGATTTTTATTTATGAAATTAGCATGTTGCTGTCAGATCAGGCTAAATAAAATCAATACAATAACAACATAACGAGAATCCTACATTGATATAAATACATGAACATTTCAAACACTGTTTTAAATATTGCTGATGTAATTGTCATTTCTATTGCAGTGTCAATTATGAGTAAATTGCAATATTTTACATACTCAAGTAACCTAATCCATCAGAAATTTAATATTGTGTGTTAAGTTCTTTTTGCAAATACTCTCACTTAAAAAAGATGGGGCGAACAATGTGCTGCCTTAGTGTTTTTAACTGGGTAAACAGCATCTGGAACCAGAGCCCAACAAGATAGCAACTGTTGATTGACAGTAGGATACAGTAGTGCTGTTGATACTACAGTACAAGCTGCTTTAGGCCATCAGTCACTGAAATTCAGACCACAGTGCCCGACTGATCAAGGGTATCAAAATGATTCAGAAAACATTTTCCATGCTGGGTGATTGTGCTCTTTTTCAGTGTAAGAATTCTACACAGTGTGGGGTAAATGAGTAAAACTGCAATAGTGGAATTATTACAAAATATCTGGAATATTTTCATTAAATAATTCTTTGGGATACAACAAAGTTGTTTTATTTTTAATTGTGGTCCACTGACAGTAAATGAATGCTTGTGTGTGTCTAAATTCCCAGAAGAAAAACCAGTAACACTTGCAAATTGCATATTCTGGTGTGATTCATCTTGTAAACCTCAAAATGGGGCAGGACAATCAATGTATTCATTTCCAAGTATTACTGCTTTGTTCCTTCTGGGTGAGGATAGTGACTTGCAGACAATTCTCTTTCCACTTTCAGCTTCAGTCTCTTCTAGGAAGAGAGCTTCAACGATTGGGAGTGACTAATATCATCATAGCGGGTTGTTACAATCATTTTGTTGACAGTACGCATTGTTGCCACAAGACATAATATTGGAGGGAGTGGACAATCAACCTAGCAGATTGAATGCTCATTAAATGGACTGATTGGCTCTAAGCAGTATTGGGGTTCTTCAATGTAATTAAAACACCCATCCATGCAAGTGGATATATTTTCCTCAACACAGTCCTGGTCTAAGACTGTTTGGTAATGGAATATTAAACAAGCTTTTGTTTGTCATTATATAAATGATTTGAATAAGAATTTAGGAGGCATTGTTAGTAAGTTTGCAGATGACATGAAAATTGGCAGAACAGTCAACAATGAAGAAGGATATCTCAGAGCACAACAGGACCTTGATCAGATGGGCCAATTGGCCAAGGACAGACAGATGGAGTTGCGTTTTGGTAAGGCAAAGGAGACAGTTAATAGTGGGGCCTAGGTAGTGACCTTGGGGTTCAGGTATACAATTCTTTGAAAGTCGCATCACAGATAGACAGGCTGGTTAAGAGGGCATTTATCACACTTGATTGTTCAGACCTTTTGAGTAAAGGAGTTGGGATGTCACGTTGAGGTTGTATAGGATGTTGGTAAGGCCACTGTTGGAGTACTGTGTACAGTTCTGGTTGCCCTACTGTAGGATGGATATTATTAAATTGGAGAAGGTTCAGAAGAGATTTACCAGGATGTTGGTGGGACTGGAGAGTTTGATTTATACAGATAGGCTAGGACATTTTTTCACTAGACTGTAGGAAGTTGAGTGGTGTCCTTATAGAGGTTTTGATAATCATAAGGGTTTTAGATAATGTGAATAACAAAGGTCTTTTTCCTAGGATGGGGGAGTTCTAAACTAGGGGTCATATTTTTTTCAAGGTGAGAGGAGAAAGATCTAAAAGGGACCTGAGGAGCAACTTTTTCACACAGAGGGTGATTTGCATATGGAATGAACTGCCACAGGAAATGGTAGATGCAGGTACAACATTTAAAAGACATTTAGATAGGAAAGGTTTAGAAGAGTATGGGCTAAATGCAGCTAAGTGGGACTAGTTTGGTTTGGGAAACTTGGTCGGCATGAACTAGTTGGATCAAAAGGTGTATTTCTGTGCTGCATGACTCTATGACTTCAGGGTATCAAATGGTGAGGCAATCTCCATAGAATGCCTAGCTTCTGAGTTTTCTATTAGCCTAAGCATTTATCTGGCTGTTCTTGTTAATTTTTTGAACAATGGTAGCCTCCAGGATGTTGATGGTGGGACAACATTCAATAAATATTAATACCATTGAATATCAAGGGCAGGTAGTTAGGAGGTCTTGCTGCAAATGCTCATTACCTAGCGTTTGTGTGGCATAAATTCAGGTTGACACTTAGCAGCAAAATCTCAACTTTAAGAGCACATGAAGTAGAAGCAAGATACCATATGGCCTCTCAAGTCTACTAAACTATTGCTTTAATCCCAGCTGATGTTACTATCTGACAAGAAATGCTAGAGATCACAACGGGTCAGGCAGCATTCACAGAGAGAGAGCAAGCTAATGTTTCAACTCTCCAAGGATGCTGCCTGACCTGCTGTGATCTCCAGCCATTTTGTTTTCAGCACAAATTCCAGCATCTGCAGTAATTTGCCCATACTATTGACAAGTCAGACTCCAGACTGAAATCTGACTTTGGAGATGTTAAAAAAAAATAA